TTCATAGCAACAGTTGGCAAAATACAGTATTGAAATTCCTCAAAACTTTTTAAACATGTTTAATTTGTTCTTTTCAGAGACTGAACGGATCTAAAGACAGTCTAATAGAAGAAACATCTCAGCCATCCCCTAATAATGTTGATGGAAAGCCCACCACCAAGATCATAAAAACTGTACAGGTGTCACGCTTCAAGGTGGACAGTTGACTGGTGAATTGAAGATAGTGCATGGATTTTAGTGTTTGAAGCTGAGAATTTGTTTATGTGTGCAAGGGAAGGAACTGACATCGACATGGTAGTAATTTCTTCAGGACACCTGGAAGTGCAGCCTGCTTGCTGGGAAGACCAAGCAATGCTTTTATCACTGACTGGATATCACATTCTAGTGATGTGACTGATTGAGGAGAAGCTGCCTGGTAGACAACCAAAAAGAAAAGTCGTAGTAAAACTGAATGATCGGCAGTTACATTTCCAAAAAATGAACAAAAAAAACAAGAAAAAGAAAAAGAGAAAAAATTGCTGCAACAAAACAGGCTTCATGGTCTGCTCTGTAAGTGAATAGCCTTGTTCCAAAAAGTGACTGTTAATTGACATGATCAGGACCAGATTCTTCAAGATAAGTAAAACAGTCGTATTTTTGGTCGATTGTGCAATACAGTGTGATATGGGGAGAATTATCTTTATGATTTCATATGGGGATCAACTTATGTCCTGAGACATAAGGACTGATAGCTCTTACAAGGTTTGTTTTAGCCTAGCACAATAACAGATGTCATATTTTTATTACAAATTTTGAATCAAAAATAACAGACTCAGTAACACTCTGCAGCAGTGAGTTCCATAGATGATACAGATTTACTTTCCCTTGGCAGTTTTAAGTGTTCTAAATTTTGAATGTCCTTTTATGTAGAGGGACTATTTAATTGAACATTCCATAGTGTAGAAATACATTTACCAATTTATAGTAAAGCACACTGGAAACAAACTGGAGAATATGTACTGACCCACTGCTTAGCAAGGCATTTAAGTGCTGGTTAAATGAAACTCGTGGAGTAGTATTTAAGACAGCTAGGAAATAGCCTTTTTAAATTTTAGTTTTTAACTAGATTAGCAAAATCTGCCTTAATCTCCTGTCATATAATCTGTCACTTTTCTCTGAGCCATTTCTACTACATTAAAATGACAAAGGCAGTATTTCAGGTATGATAACTACAATTGTTCTTTTCTATTGTCATGGTAGGAATACTAAGTTTCAATGATGCTGCACACTGAGTGGGTTATCTGCCAGTATGTATCTGAAGTGATACCTGGCTCTTCTCTTGTCCTATCACTCTGTACAAATATCTGAAAGTCATTCCTCTGCCTCCCATTTGTCCACAGTCAGCACATGTATGAGCTTTCTGGTGCTGTGAACTTCTAAGCAGCTTAGCAAAGTCTTTGTTTTTTTGTAATTTTTGCTAAGTGTAATCCTCAAACGAAATACTGAATTTGTCAAACAGCATTGTAAATGGCTTTAGTAGCTCGTGCCTTTCTACATCTATCCTCTGTATACTCAACTCCCATGACCTACAGTGATTTACAGTGATCCTGTGTTTTGTAGCCTGAGCAACGCTGTACCAGGGAACTGCAGCCCTGTCAGGAAAGCAATACTGTTTGAGAACTGGAGTAAGCATAAGGGATTACCAATACACATTTGAACTAGCAAAACTAATAAGTGAAGCCTTGTATGATGTGTTTTATTTTCCACTTCATTTTTTGATCCTTTTTTGTTTCATGGTCTGAGGTGGCCAGGTGGATGTTACTAGCCATGACAGTAGCCGTACAGTTCATGTATTCCTATCACAGTGTAGATTGGTCCGTAGGTTGGGAAGTGCTGCAGTCTGCCAGGGAAGACGGATTTGCTCAATAAATACTATCCTTTGATCACTTACTTTGGACAGTTCTGCTTCTTCAGCCTCAGTGAACAAATCTAAGGGAAGGAAAGAATGAAAAGTCCTCTGTGGTAAAAATTCTTTTATCATGGAGGTTCTTCAGAATTTTCTGAATTTACTACAGATTTAATCCTAGAACATCATTGGGCTTGCCTTAAAGTATTCGTTCATTTTTTTTAAGTCTGTAAAATGTTTTTATTGTCATTGCTCCAACTTAAAGTAATCCTTTAGGATCTATTTATGATCTTGTGTAGTATTCTCACAAGCAACAGTTAAAAAAAGCACAAACAAAACAAAAAGAAAAAACCCCACCCCAACCCCCCAAAAAAACCACCAAAAAACCCCCACAAGCCCATCGCTTAATCAAGAGCATCACAACCTTTCGGAAGACCACTGAAATATGGCAAACCACATATGAACTGGTTACAATGTCTGCAATGAAAGTCACTCCTTGTTTCTTCCAGAAGGTGTTCCAAGCTGCAGCATTATACACTTGCTTGTAGTTTGCTGCTTTCTAAATCATTACCGTTAGTTTGCAATCCCTACTCAGGCACAGGCAAGTAGCACATATGTATTTCAGCAGATATGTGCTGTTACTATTTGAGAATTATCTGTACCTAGTGTCCATATCTTGTCAATCTTCAAATATTGATGAAGAAGAAAATTACTTTTAAGGTTTATATCCAATCTCATGTTTTCCTATATGTTGTCATCTGCATGTGGGCTTTTGTGTGTTATTGCTGGATACCATCAGCCAAGTATGTGGCGTTTTACTTACTCCACTACGTCATAAAATAGGCTTCTGTCTAGTGCAATAGTGAAAAGTTTCAATTCTCAAGTCATCAGAGAATTGTAATCAAGCCAACTTTTTTGCATTTAAATGAGAAATTTACAGAGAAAGCCATCTTCTCTTCAATGAGACTATGTAGGAAGCAGGTTTTAGCAAGTCTAATGTCAGTCTAGGACACTACAATACAGTTTTGTATCCACAGAGGAAAGATTAAGCTTATAATGCCTGTATTACACATTGTCTGTGCCAAAACAAGGCAAAACCTGGGACATCACTGTCAGCTAATAGAACAGAAAAGGGAATTTCTTCCATATGTGTGAGCCTCCTTTCCCTTCAAGCTTCTTCTCCTGTCATTTGAGGAAAGGCACCCTTTTTATGATTTCTTTATTGCTGTGAGACACCTACAAGTGATCAATCACTGTAAGCACTTATTGTGTCACAGCTGTGCTTTGTAGATCTAAACCAGCACTACTCCAGCAACTGACCTCTTACAGCTCTGAGCTACACCTTGCCCTTTCCACTGTTGCTACCCTTCCCCAGCACTCTTGGGGCTTTCACTGCCTAGAGGCATGGATTTTCAGATCTGGAGTTTGGATGTCAGTCCAAAATGCTTGTACCTCCTGATGGGTCAGGTAAAGAGTCAGGCAAAAGACACGAGCCGCATAACTGTGTCAGGCAAAATGTACCCTGGGGTTGATGCTACACAGACCTCTACTCATTTGGACAAAAAGGACTGATATTTGAGATATTCTCATCCTAATTCTGCTGAATTGATCTCAGGCTGACAAATATAACTTTGTGCCTCTGCATTTATCTCTTCTGAGACGTCTATAAGTGCTAAGCACTGGTAAGTTACAGAACTCTATCAATAATTAGCAACAACTACAACATAGATAAACCTTTTGTGAAACGTGTTTTATACAATAAGAGGGTTTGCAACCACAACACAAAAGCATTTTTGTATATCTCATATTGGTTCCTGTGCTTAGTTAGCTGGTTTCTTTCGTTAGGGGCTACCCTTGACCTGCTGTTTTCTACACTGCACGTATTTACCAGCATCACTTGCAACTTGTATTCTAAACAAGTTCATTATATTGAAGATGTTGGTTGGAAAAAAAAAGTCAATACCATTTAAGTTGCCAAATCCATTACCTTTATACAGGTGAATAATGAACCTAATAAATAGTGTGTTTTCTTTTGGGAAGGTCTGTTTAATTCAAAACTCCCTAGAAAGATGTTTGAAAACAACATACATAAACATATCAATGTGATGCATATGTTCTATGTACATTAAGTATTCATGAAGCAACTGTGTGCTTTATTTTAAATTGAGGTTGATAGATGACTGTGTCAATACTCGTGTCCAGGTTATTTAAAAGTCAAGTAAAACTTGAATTTTTAGGGCATGCCATGGTTGCCTGTGTGTGTTATTTACATTACACAAAGGTGCAAAGCCTTCAGAAACACAGATTCATTTGACACCACCATCTGGTAAAAACAGGTGTAGTACCGATTAAAATCCACTTGAGGATACAGCTACTCCAGATTAAGTATTTGTCCTCATAGCAGGAATTTGTCAGCCCAAGTTTTATATTTCCAGTGTATATCCACTACCGTTTCCTTACCTAAAAATCACCAGAAAAGCAACAGCAGACTAAGCTGTCAAACCAAACACACAGACACTCTCTCCTTAATGTGCCTGTTTTCTCCCTCTGTTTGTCTCCTGAGTAAGAGTTGTGGTGGGTTGGCCTTGGCTGGACACCAGGTGGCCACGAAGCTGCTCTATCACTTCCCCTCCTTAGCAGGATGGGGGAGGGGAGAGAAAATCAGATGTAAAAAAACCTTGTGGGTCAAGATAAAGGCAGTTTAATAAAACAAAAGCGAAAGGCACATGGAGATGGGGAAAAAAACCCCAACCAAACAAAAGAACAACAAACAAACCCAAAAGATTTGCTTTCTACTTCCCATCAGCACATGACATCCATCCACTTTCTGGGACTTCCAGTACACATAGTAGATTGCTCCAGAATAGGAACATCATAAGAATTAATGCCCCTTTCCCCCCTTCCTTATCCTTTCTCTTTAGCTTTTATTGCTGAGCAGACTCCTATGGTTTGGAATATCCCTTTGGTCAGCTGTCCCAAACAAGATCTTGCCCCCTCCCAAGATTTTGCCCACCCCCGGCCTACTGAGGGGAGAATGTTGAAGAGACAGCCTTGATGCAGTAGCCAAAACACTGGTTATCAACACCATTCTAGCTGCCAAGACAGAGCCAAGCACTATGAGGGCTGCTGCAGGGAAAATTAACTCCCTCTCTACCAGACCCAATACAAGAGTGAAGAAAACCACTGGCCTCCCAGCTGGTCACTATGTAAACGATACACTTCACTTGCTGCAATGTTAAAGTCTCGAAACCAGCTACAGCTGTGCATGTATTTTCTCAGTGAGGCTACCAGAATGTACTTCACATTCTTCATAAACTACTACCATTAAATTTCCTACAAATGAGCCGCTTTGCTGGGCAGAAGGGGCAATGGATTTATGTTCAAGAATGCCCCCACAGATAGACTGTTTCCATTTAACAGAGCAAGTCTTAATCTTAGGTGCAGGGTGTTAAAACGTGAAGAGTAATTTGGAACAAGGCAGTTTTCTTTCTGTGGACACCTCTCAAAAGTTCTGATTTGCAGCTTCTGGTATGGAGAGCCCTCTTCCAGAGAGGGCTGGAGGCGTGTAACAGGAAGGAGGGTTGGTACAACACCTAGCTCACAGATCTTTGTTCTCTTGCTCTCTTAGAACCACCTCAGAATCTGCTCTCCCTTTTGCTGTTTAATACTACTAACTCCAACAATTGGTCAGACACTGTATTCAGGTAAAACAGAGGAAGGGGGAAAAGAAAAATAAATAAGTAGTCTGACATTTTATTCAAGGATACAATCCAGTTAGCCACTCATACAAAATAAAAGGCAGTCCTAATGCTTAACACCATATTTCATGTTTACCAACATTACTATTTTAGTAATCTGTGACCCTTACACCCACCTATTCCTCCCTCTACCTCACTTTTTTTCACTTTCCACCCCACAATGAAACCTGTATTACACACTGAAGCTTAAGGTTCTACATTTTTTCCTGTTGGAAGGTAATTAACATTTTAGATATCCATCATCAAAACCTGGCATTAGCTGTTGCTCTCTAGAGTTGTGGTTTTTGTTGTGTTTTTTGTTCTTTTGTATAAAATCTTAGAAGCTACTCCTGTCAGTCTTATAATTCTAAGAACAAAGACTCATGAGCAAAACTCCTGAACAGATGGTATCCTCAGGGAATGTAATCCCTAATAGAAACCCTAAACTTTCAAGTGCATCCAGTAATTACATGTTGGATCATAAAAATTAATTACTCTTGTCTAAACCTCCTTCCTTCTTGACAAACCAAAAATGAACTTAGACTTAGTATTAATAATGTGCTACATTCAATACTGAAAAATCAGACATTGGAAGATATACAATTTCAGCATTTGCTCTTTTTTATGTTAAGTCTTCCTAAAAAAAACCCAAGCAGCATTTCCAGTTGTTGTCTCAAGAGTATTTCACTCTACTTCAAGTTTAGTTGAGTACCATATTACAGAGCTGATCAAGGTAGCAATAAGCCAAGATTACAGCTTTCCATGTTGTAGAGATACCTTTACTGCTATTTTTAAACCCAGGTTTGCTACATTTGAATTTCTACTTTTGCTCACCACAATACAAATCTCAGCTAACCCTATCTCTGAGTACTATAATGGTTTTACATCCCAACCACTTGGCAGCTCCCAGAGTTTGTTGAGTCCAAAGGGGTACATTAGTACCCCAACAATAATTCAGAGGAAGTCAGGACTGTCAAACAGAAACAAATGCTATTATAGCTTGGAAAAGGTAGAAATTCTAAGAACAGAAACATAAATCTTCATTTTTTTGTCTACATAAACATTACCAGACACTGCCCCAGTAAGTTAAAAGTGACTTGTGTTACTACATGCAGGCTTAATAGTCCATCTTTTAAACATTTTTTGTTTCTTATGGATTAGTGCTGCACAGCCAGGTGGTCTCAGGCTGGTTCTAGCAATTCTTCCTGGGGAAAAAAGTAAACACATTGTGAGACTGGACATATGGTAGCACATAACTGTTTTCAGTAACATCCTCTAAATCTGTGAGACTCATACAAAATTACAAGGATCAGCTTGCCCCTCATCTCTTTGGGAAAAAAGCGAAAAGCTGGAGTGTGAAAATCTAATTTTTAAAAAGCCTACAAGCAATAGGAGCTCTTTGCCCACCTAATCAAGAGTTCAGATACTATTTATAAGCTGGTGGCAGTAATAACACTTTCTGAATGATGGAGTTCAACAGAATGTTTTGTACTAACTCATGCATACAATATGACTGTGACATATTATATGGCAGTTTGACAGAACACTAATAATATAAAGACAAAATTTAGTAATTTTATGTTGAAAAACAAGCAGCAGCCCTGATATTATATACATTGCTAATAATGGATTACACATACATTTCTCCTCCCAGTGTCCAACAGGTTCATACGAAGAGTGCCCACCTTACTCCTCAGCCTTGCAAAAAATTCAGTGTCTGTAGTGCCAAAGGTCTGGATAGACTTCACAGGTTCATTTTCTATAAGCAGCAGTGGTAAAACATTAGGTGTGTCTGTGTTTTTTACGTTGCTCAAGTAGATTTGCACATTTCATTGCATGAAACTTCTCAATGCCAGTATTTTCAAGAGCACTGAAGGAGTTTCATTACTGCACTGAAGATTTCTGCTACATTTTTTCCTGGAAAAAAAACCCTAAAAAAACCCAGTGATGTAGTACTGGATCATTCTTACATCACATTTCCAGTACTCATCAAGAAGTTCCTGGCTTCAAAGACTTGGATTACTGGCCCTGTCCTTGCATATGGAGGTTACACAAACCACAGTTTCAGCAATGAAGAAATGTTTGATAATGCATGCAATTTTTATTGATGCCTTGTTTATACTACTGAATTTGGTTTTGGCTTTTTCAAGATTTTACAGTGAAAAAACATCTTGTGTGTAAGATTCTAAGCTTTCATGTTTTGCCAGTATTTTGATGTTTTCAGTCCCTGTATTCTGAACTGCTCCACTGTATTACCCACCCTAAAACAACCATGAAAAGGCATAGGCTTCTCTTGGACACACTGGCAGCCACGTACTGGTCTAATAGGCCACTCACACCAAATTTTTCGACTATGGTTTCCACTTTGCTTTTGCTAATGAGAATGTAGCCATGAGGCTATCTCACTCTCACTGTTTCAGTTCTAATTTCTGCTCTAAAGTCATGCTGACAAACTTCTTTTTCAACAGAAAGTATGCTTTATTGTAGGAGTACCCTGAAGGACAGAGCTGCACAAGAGATTATTGTTACCCTAAGGGGCAAGTTGCAGGACAGCTCAGTGCAATCAGTACTTTGTGGTTTTTTCCTACACGCCCTTCTCATGCTCAGAGGCTTTCACCACACAGGGCTGTCTCCAGGAGCTCCTAAACTCCCAGCAAAACACACTAGAACTCTGTAACAAGCATTCACAGCATTAAACATCCTGGCGCGAATCTGGCAGCCTTAACATATACTTTACACTTCCAAAAGTGCATCAGGGAAAGGCCAGAAAAAGAGTAGACTATACATTAATCAATAGCAAACAGTCCTATTGCTGGATTAAATCTCTTTATATTGTTCTTACACCAGACATTAATAACAAACCCTAAAATCCACAAAAGCAAACCACATTTTTTCACCATTAAAGTAGATTTTCATATTTTCTGTAGCTGAGTATTCTGAAGCTGTAGATATCTTTTTACAACAGGAAAACTAGAGGCCACACAGTACTATTTATTTGCAGATGTATGAAGTCATGATAGACAGGTCTGCTAAACAATGCTAAAAGTGGCCATTATAATTTTAGGTTTTTCTCTTTTAATAACGGTAAGATTATTCATTTTAAAAGACTGAAGTATAAAATCTACTATCTAGCTGCTCAACCATATAATTTCAACAAGTTGATTTTTATTTTTGGGGGGTTTTTTGTCCTTGCAAAAACAGGGAGGAGAAACACAAATAATCAGCTCCTTAAAAGAGTTTGAGCAGGAACTCCTGTTTGCCTTTTTTGACACCTCACTCACTCTGGGCAGGAATGAATGGGCAACACAAAGGCCAAAATTCAAGTATTAGGACTGATCACCCCTGCAAAATCAAGCTCATGGCACTTAAAAAAGAGCAATTCATTAATTGCCAAACACTTAAAATTTCACAATTAAATTATTGTGAATAAATGAATATGTGATTGTGAATAAATGATTAAATATTTTACACAGAACACAGATTTTTTAAGAAAATTCAAGCACACCGTGCTCTCGGGACATCTTTTGGTCATGCTGAACTTGCTGAGGCCATCGGCAGACTTCCACTGGTTCTATCCGGGAAAAACCCCCCACACTTTGCTTGGAAGAGCGACAAAGATATATGAACAATACAAGGAGCCCAGAAAGAATACTTGAAAGAATTGCCTGGTTTCCAAAAGACAGCAGGTTCTGCGTGTTCCCATCACCACAATCGAAGATTACAAGTTGATTAGAAGTTGATCACAACTGCTCCTCCGCACAGTCCTGCTGTGGGACTGATCGGTGCCCCACTGCTCCCGCCTTGCCCCAGAGGGCTGAACCACTACTCTCCAAAGGGGGGGAGGACGCCATGCGCTGCCTCCTCCTCCTGCAGCACAGAGATGACATACTGGGTCTGCTGCACACGCGAGGCTACACCTGTGGCCGTCCAAGTAGATGGAGTCCTGAGCAAGTGAATCCGTCTGGTGAAAGGCGCCAAGATGTGAGGCAACAACGGCCAGGGCCACCCACTGGAACATGGTGGAAACACCCTGAGGAGGGAGATGGGGAGCTCCACAACACCACCGGGTGTGCATGCGTAATGTGCGCCCAGTGCAGTGTGAGGGGGTGGCGCAGGGGCTGGGGTGGAGGGAGTTCACGGTGTAGGAAATAAATAAGGTGGTTTTATTACAAGCAGGGGTTTCCATGGGTACTTCCTGTTGAGATACCTGGAAGCCATTTTGTTTGAAGAGGTGAGGAGCCGTTTACTGGTCAAGGACTAGTGAGCTGCTTACAGTTACTGGTGCTTTCAGTTCCGCTTACGCTTACTTACTGTTGCTTACAGTTACCGTGTGAAGGTGGGTCAGAAAGTATGTAAGGCAGTAAGACCATTCTGGGCTCACTGCCAGGGGACCATGCGGCCGGGGCAGGGAAACAACCTGGTAGGTTGGTGGAAACAACCTTGTAGGTTGGTTAAAACAACCAATGGACTGCAAGAGGAAGATTTTATTGCCTTTTAAAGAAGAAAAGAAGTGGGACTTGGCATGGGAGGAGTGAGGCAGTGGTTATATAAATCAAGGGATCTTAAAAGGGCTCGCCTCTCCCATTCAGGGTGTGCTTAGACCTGGCTACAAGTCTGCTGCACCCAGTGAGCTGATAAAAAAGTTCTTCGTTTCACTTCATTTGGCCATCTCTGAAATTTTATTTAGAGATATTTCTCACAGTCTGGGGGCTCGTCCGGGATTCAATGTCCACCGGTCTGGTTGGGGGATCAGTGAACCTGGAAGGTGTGGCCCACCGATTTCAGCAGTCCAGAGGCCTGAGCCCTCTCCTGGGACGGCAGCGACTGAGGACCCTAGCACGGATGGCATGAAACAAAGAAGGGGGGGGAAGGAAACAGGATCCGGTATAAAAATAAATCCCCAGTAACCGTTAAACCTCATGCTTGGGACCCAGTAAGAAAAGAGAAGAGCTATCCTGGAAGTATTACCGGATGGTTGGGTCAGAGGAGTGTGTGTGTGTGTGGTTGAGACATACCAAAAGGTGTGAAGTGAGTGCAGGGTCCTTCTAGCCACGGTTCCATATCCCTGCAAGGGGACTGGCTGGTGAAAGGACAAAATGGTGGTTGTGGAGCAAGAGTGAGGTACTCCTCGGGGTGAAGGACCATGGGTGGTTCCGGCTTAAGAAAGAAGATTCTTGAGTGGTTCTGGCTTAGAGATAAGGCTTTTGAGTGGTTCCGGCTTAGGAAAAAGGCTTTTGGGTGACTCCAGCAGAGGAGGAGGCTCGGGAGTGTACAGAGAGTGTGTGTGCCAAGGGAGGACCATATTCCGGAGCACACGTGTTCATTCCTCAGGATGGGGGCTGGGAGAAGTTAAAAGGTCCCCAGGAAAGAAAGGGTCAGGAAAGACCCTAGGCATTCCTCAAGACAGCCCATTGGGTATGATGCTGGATATGTCGGACGAGCTGGGAGAGACTCGAGATAAGGATAAGGCGGTTATGATCCAGTACTGTAGGTATGAGTGGACTAAAGGTGCTATAAGATCAGACAATGTTTACTGGCCCCAGTTTGATTCATTTGAAGATTGGATTTGTCAAGCATTGAATGTTTACGTGAAAAGAAAGAGACTGTAGAGGAAAGTGAATATGCTGCTTGCTGGGTAGGGTATATCGGGCTGTTCCTGGTCCATACAGTTAGTAGTGATCAAAGTAGTGACCAAAGTGACCAGAAAAAGAAGAAGGGTCCTGAGTGGGATCCTTTAGAAAATCCTTCAGGTAATATGATCCCAAATCCTCCCCCGTATAATCCCGGGGAGAATGAGGTGCAAAACTTGGACTCAGCACCTTCTCCAGATCCTCCCCAGACACAGGGTAGAGCCAGGAGGAGAGAGGGTTTGGAGACACCCAGGGAACTGTATCCCCTTAGAGAAGTCCCGATGCAGGGGGCACAAGGGGGTACAGGCTATGTCAATGTCCCTCTGATGAATACTGAAGTATGGGAATTTGGAGAGGGCATAAAGAAACTACTAAAAGATCCATTAGGTCTGGCAGAGCAATTTGACCAGTTTTTAGGACCTAATATGTACATATAGGATAAAATGCAACCTGTAATAGGGATATTATTTTCTATGGAGGAGAGGGAAATGATCAGGGCAACAGGAATCCATATTTGGGACAGGGAACATCCCCAAGGGGTGCATGATCAAACTGGAGAGCAGAAGATGCTTGTGGCTTATCCAAATTGGAATCAGAACACAGAGGAAGGAAGAAAAAATATAACAGATTATCAGAATTGCATTGTGAAGGGAATTCGGGAAGCAGCACCCTGGGTGCAGAATCACCAACTGAATTGTTGGAGAGACTGAAAAAAGATATATAGCAATATTCTGGAGTTTGGTTAGATACTCCAGTAGGGCAACAGTTGTTGAAGGCTATCTTTGTGACTCATTCATGGATAGATATTAGGAAAAAGTTAGAGAAATTAGAGGATTGGAGTGAAAAAGATCTGAATGAATTGTTAAAGGAAGCGCAGAAAGTATATGTTTGGAGAGATGAAGAGAGACAGAGACAAAAGACCTGGTTGATGGTAGCCACAGTTAAAGAGGTGAATAAACAGGGGGATAGACAGGTTACAGGGCAGGGATGTGCAGGGACATCACAAAAGAGGTATGGTACTCATGAAGGCGGCAAGAGACAAGAAGTTCAAACTTTCAGGGGACCTCCTTGGGTGCCGCAGAAGTTAGGAATGAATTTGGCTTGCCCGCCTGTACAAGAGGGGAAGGGAGACTGCTTTTATTGTGGGCAGAGAGGACATTTCAAGAGAGAATGCCCGAGGTAACAGAAGGACATTCAGAGTACTTGGACTAGGGGTCCTTTAGGGGTCCTTTAGGGGTGTCAGGGGCTCTGTCTCTTGGGGCTAGAAACAGAAAGGGAGCCCTTGATAAATTTGAAATTAGGACCCCAGGAGGAAGACACCACCTTTCTGGTGGATTTGGGAGCTCAACTGACTTGCGTAATTCAGCCCCCCTTAGAAGTAGAAGTATCTGATCAGAAAGTTATTGCAGTGGGAACTAAGGAGAAATTTGAAGTTTTTGTGGCACCCTCTGTATTGATACAAGGGAATGGGAAGACATTGAAAAGGGATTTATTAACAGTGCCCCAGGCTGGGACAAACTCATTGGGAAGAGACTTAATGAGGCTATTAGGGATAGGACTAATACTTCAGGGAAAAGAACTTAAACTTTTTGTATTAAGTGAGGGTTTAGATATAAATCCACAGGTATGGGCCAAAGATGGGAATAGGGAGAGACTAAAAATAGAACCTTTTTTGGTAAAACTGTATATGGAAGCTCCTGTTCGGATTAGACAGTACATTAGACATCACCCTAGAAGGAAGAAAAGGATTATCCCAGATTATAAGGAAATTGATTCAGGATGGGCTGTTAGAAATTTGCATGTCCCCATATAACACTTTCAATCCTACCAACAAAGAAAAGTGATGGGATGCATCGATTAGTCCAAGACCTTCATGAGATCAATAAGATAGTTCGGACTAGCTATTATGCTCATGCAACAGTAGTATTGATTCACAATGCTTTGTATAAAGAGGTGAGGTACTCACATATGTATTAGTTAGGCGAGTTCATGTAAATTTTACTGTATATAAAAGCTGTAATACATGTCCAAGTCGGGAGGATGATTTATTGCAGCCTAGGTAGTTAGAGGAAAAAAAGATAAATATGAGAAAAAGTCAAAGGGCAAGCAAATATCACCGCTTAGAGCTTCTGGAGAAGCCTATGTACTTTCAGGAGTTCAGTATTAGTTTACAGAAACTAGTTTTTGTGTCATTATGCTTAGACATACCTCTAAAACAGACAGGGTATAGTAGTGCTCTGTTTATAGCAAAACTAAATTAATGTTAACATTAATTTTTTAGCAGATTCACCTTTGGTAGCTTTGATTTGTCGCTTGAAATTCTGTTTTCTACATGAAGAAGATTATCTTGAGCATTACTTCAAGCCAAACTTATGCATGCATAAGGGTAAGTACTTTGAGTAAAGTGATACTTACAATATACAAGTAGTCCATCTTGGGGAAGACGCTGATGAGATTGTTGATGACAGTCAAGCCAGTAAATCAGTGGAGATCAGTAACTCTGTTTTACTGATACAGTCAGGTGTTGATTTGCAGCTCAGGGACAGCTGCCTGGAGAGAAGTTTAAGTCAAATATAACCAGTCCAGATTTTGATTATATAAGTGAACAGTATGAAGAAAAAATTTTAAATGTTTGTGGCATTTATTATTCCTGCCTGTGGATACAGGAGAGCTTGAATAGCTACGTGAGAATCATTCTATCTATAAAACACTAACTGATTATATGAAAAATGTAGTCATTTCAAGTAGAATCCCCCTGCTCGACCTGCTGCCTACAATGCTTTGGATATGTCCCAAGACATGATTGGCTTTCCGGGCTGCCAGCGGACATGGCTGGGTCCATGTTCAATTTTTCGTCCACTAGGATGCCCTAGTCCTTCTCCACAAGGCTGCTCTGAATCCATTAATCCACTGGCCTCTGCTGATACTGAGGATTGCCTGTTCCTGGGTGCAGAACCTTGTACTTGGCCTTGTTAAATTTTAGGAGGTTCTCATGGGTCCACCCCTCTAGCCTGTCAAGCTTTCTCTGAATAGAATCCTTTCCCTCAAGCCTTTCAGCTTTGTAGTATCTGCAAACTTGCCAAAACAATCAAATACCATGAGAAAATGGTGATCAAAGTGCTTTTCATATAGTAAATATGGATTAGGGGTGTTAGTCACACATCCCACGGTTCTCTCCTTACTGAAAAACTTGTAAGATGGTAAAAATAATCATTGGAACAAATTTACAAAGGGAGGGAGATGCTAATGCATTGCTGTATTTATTTTCTTTTTCAATCTGATTGATTGAGTCCAATCATGGTTAGAATTTTTCTGAAAGTGGCAACATAATTCAAAAAAGGAATTACTTCCTATGATTGCTGCTCTAGATGATCACAGTGAAACTAAATTCCTAATGTCTGAATCTGTGATCATATTATTTATTATAACTG